CTTCCATTTATTTCTACCAATTCTCCAAGTAACCAGATATTTCTCTTTCTCTTTCTCTTTCATTCTCTCTCTCTCAACCCATTTTCCTGCTTCTGGTTTCCAGAGTTCCAATATTATTAAGTGCAAAATTCATGAAACAAAGAAGTGTATAAGTGTGTTTAATTCCTTGAAGAGCAAGTAAAACATCTTAGATTGAGTCCTTAAATCAGACTATTAGTGTGAGAGGAGATTAGAACTATGATTCGTTACCAAAGAAAGATGCTCAATCTTTTTCTACTACATTTTAGTCCATTATCACTGTCTGCAAATAGAGTGAAAACCAAAGAATACACTCTTACGTTACTCCTGGGAGACTCTGTACTGAACAAACCCAACTGTTCCTAATTAATTTTAACTATGACAACTCCTCCCAAATGCTGAACATTCCAAGCCATTTTTGAGAACAGTTGGATATCACTCAAAGAGGTATGGATTTCCTGAGTATACGTACTGTAACTGCAGGCACAAGAGAAAAGTATCATTATTGTGCCCTTCCCATAGTAAGAACCCAAATATTATGTCATGTTAAATAAATATGCTCTTTCTGCTTCTGAGAACATGTAATTTTTATATTGTGTCCTGATATTTACTGTCATAATTACTAAACCAGATCACTAAGATGACACATTCATTAACACATCATGTATTTTTTCTTTAATAAAACTGAAAATAAACACCACAAACTGTAAATTATAGATTTTTTTCCTCCAATTGCCAAAGTTTCTGTAATACAGTTATATCACTCTTTCAATTTAAAAAAAAGCATTAAAAGGAAAAGTATTCTTACAGCACTTACTGGCTTAGACCACATACTAAGAATTTTTTCAATTAAATCCCATTCTAAGGGCTTTTTTATTATTAAAAAAGAGTCCCTGCTAAATTAAACAAGAAAACCTCAGCATAAAGCTGAACTGCCGGATGATCATTTAAAATACTCGTATCATGTCATATTTCAATAAAATAAAACTTTTACCATCACCAAGAACACCACTTCTATACCCACAGTTGTTATCGTCAACCTATCATAAAAGACACTGGAGACTCAGAGGCAAAAAACATGGCTTCCATCTTCAAGTTTACTATCTAATTAGGACAACAGGGCATTTACTGAAAAAGAGCATCAAAAATACAAGGGAACACTGGACAGGCCAAGCATCTAGTACACAGAGAAATAGACAGCTTTTGAAATCCTACATACCTTGGTTCAAATCTTACTTACTAGCTCATGTAAATTCCCTGGTTCGTAAAATGGAGTGTTAAATCAAATGAAGTAAAATTCCTTGCATACTGGAACACCCCTGTATGTACAGTAAACTACATATATACATATACATATAGTATATACATATATACATATAGTAAATACATATATACATATAGTTAAAAAGGCTGATAGCAGTAGTATTATTAAGAATACAGGCTTGTGGAGCACCTGCGTGGCTCAGGGGGTTAAGCCTCTGCCTTCTGCTTGGGTCATGATCCCAGGATCCTGGGATGGAGCCCTGCATTGGGCTCTCTGCTCAGCAGGGAGCCTGCTTCCTCTCCCCTCTCTCTCTGCCTGCCTCTCTGCCTACTTGTGATCTCTGTCTGTCAAATAAATAAATAAAATCTTTAAAAAAAAAAAAAAAGAATACAGGCTTGAAGAGGAAATGGGGAACTAGAAAAGCTAAAAGAGAGAAAGTATTAATAGCTTTCTTGTAATCTGTCACTATAAGCAAAAATCACAGTGTCTTTCTGATTCAAGTTTTACTTCTCATCGATTAGAAGAAAAGAGAATGTCTACTGAAGACAACTGAAATTAGAAAACACTATGGCTAGGGGTACCTGGGTGGCTCAGTTGGTTAAGCATCCAACTGTTGATCTCAGCTTGGGTCTCCATCTCAGGGTGGTTGAGTTCAAGCCCCATACTGGGCTCCACCCTTGGCAGGGAGCCTACTAAACATTTTCAAAAGTGAAAGAAAGAAAACAAACACTAAGGCTACCCAGCACAAAGTACCTCTGGGAAAGTCTCACTAAAGCTACAAATCATAGCATATGATCTATAAAAAAGAAGGTCAGCTGGAAAGGGCCTTAGATCAACTAATTCAAACTCCCCTACTACAATGTAAGTTCCATGTTTTGTATGCAAGAACTGTTATTTATTTTGTTCCTTAGTATAGCCTCAGTACCTAGCACATAATTCCTGGCACACAGTAAATGCTCAACAAATATTTGTTGAATGAGTATTAAAATTAAGAAAACTGAGGCCTTGGAGATCTAACTCATTCCATAGAGTTAGCTCTTGGAACTAAATTTCATTACTGTAGTATTCTATCCTCTCTAGAAGCTATAATATGATAATTTAAATAATTTATTTTGGTGGCTGGGAGCTGGTGGGTTGGTTGTTAGGCAGGGAAAGAGGAAGGAAAGAGTAAATTAAAATATTTTTCACATTTTTCCCCCAAACTGTCAGTTTTGCTTAACTGATAAAGGCAAAAAACTATAAACAAGACAATCCCAGCAGAGTGCCTAGCACATGATATGTACTTAATCAATATTTGTTAAATGGAAGAACCTACTCCAAAACCATTATTATCTCATGACCAGAGGCAGAAACCACTTTCAGCAACTGTTTAATCTTTTAACTGTCACAGAGCCCTTTAAAATTTTCAGTCATTCATAAGACAGTAATCACCTTCTTCCAGGTGGGCACTGAGGAAGAGAGATGAATTAAAAGATGTCCCTGCCCTGGAGGATTTCCACTTGAGTATGCCTAAGTGTGTATATTTGCGGGTGGATGGTGGGGCGTGACACAAACAGATCAATAATGAATGTGAAACCAGGCTGCATTGTTACCTTAGTTTATTTGCTTCAAGCAGTTAAAAAATTTAAAAAACACAAATTAGGAAAGTTTTAAAATAACGAGGCACATTAGGGTATATTAACTCTTAGAAAGGTTCTTTTTCCTGTCCCTTAACATAGATGTTACTGCCTCTTAATGTCTTAAAATCAAAATATTCTAAATTGACTTAATCTGAATTATCAATATAAATGAACCACCAATGTATGTTCTCACACATGTTCTCTCATATGTGAGACACTTAAGGATAATACTCCCGATGCACTATTTACTTTGTGTACATATTAGTATTTAAATACATAACCACAAGAACATATTTAAATTATTTAACTGTCTGTAAAACTGACAGAGCCTAAAGAAAATCTCCAGAGATGAATGACAGTAAACAGAAACTAAAAACATCACCCAGGTCAGAGAATAAAGTATGCAAACAACTAAAAAACAAATCTATAGAAGACTTCAAGAGAACAAAAACTTCAAGAGGGAAAAACTGCCTGAATTGGCCAACACAGCCAGAGAGCAAGAGCTGCCAACAGGATCTTGTATAATCCAAGTCACTAACTAGATTCGTAAAAAGCGAACACCCAAAAGTCAATGTTGCCACTCCTCAAATTTAAATCTCTGGAGGACGCTTCCAAAGAGATTCACCACTAAAACTAAAACACCACATTCCAAGGATTCTTCCCTGTTATCTGCTTGTCAAAATAGGATAAGCAACATCAAGAAAACCTGGGAAAGACAGACTTCACTTAGAAACAGAATTCCTGCAAACTAAAGTTAGTTATTTTACCTGAGGCACATGTTTATGTGACTCCAGGTTCCTGGGGAGAACATTCCTCACTCAGTTTCAGTATTCCAGAATGCTAGGTGAAATATCCCAATAACACAAAAAACTCAATGGCCCAAATGTATAAGCACTGACAAATCTAGGCCAAGGAGACTACAAGGTGGCAGGGAGATACAAGGCAGGAAGGCAGGCTGTGGTGGGCCCTATGGGGAAGTATGTGGTCACCAGCTTTGGAGAGAACAACCTGAGAAGTTTATGGCCGGGGTGAGTTTTGATCAAAGAAGGAAGGGACTGACAGGTGCAAGTCCTCATCATCCCGAACATCATGAGAAGATTACAACTGGCTTTCTTTACAGAGAGGGAAGGAGGAGGCTCCCAGAATGAACGATGTTGAAGCACAAGGTTTTCTGGGAAGACCAAGGACTGGATTCTGCAGGAAACAGAAAGGCAAGAGGAAAGACCCTGAGAACAGGTTCCCCCATAATGAGTGATCGCTACAGTTTTTCCAGCGCCAAGACTGAAGGAACCATCACACCTGTTGAAGTATGTTTCCCTGTTATCCGTGTGGGCAGCGATTAAGAGACAGCCCCCCCCATGAGAGTGGAAGCAAAGAGAGACGGAACTGGGGGGTCCAACCCATAAGGAAACCTGATGGGGGGGAAGAGGCTGAATTTAGGAAGAGGCAGCAGGGTAAGTACTTGGGAGAGTGTAAGACTTATTTGGAAGAGAGGCTAATTATCGGAAACTGCTAGGGAAGGGAGGGCTTTCGCTGGACTCCAGAGGAAAAAGGCCCGTTTTGAGAAGAAAGGCTATCTTAGAGGAGGCCTTGGGCGTCTGGGTCGGGAAGGTGACTTTTAACTACGAAAAGCGCGCTGCATAGCCCAGACAGCCAGCCTCGCTGACCTGGGGTTGAGGCTAATCCTCGGGAGCTCAACAGGAGCTCACCTGGAGTACTTCTGGCCTGGAAGGAGGAAACTTCCTCGCTGGGTGAAAGCTGCGAGGAGAGGGGCCAGACGACGGCTGAACAGGGCAGGGGCCAGGGTCCGCTCAGCCGTGGGACCAAGGGGCCGCTGGAAGCGGCGCGCGAGAAGTGGGGTGGGGGGGTAGTGGGGCGGGGTCACGGAGGCTGCGACGGAGCTGCGGGCTCGGGATGGCGCCCTCCCTCAGTCACACAGTTTCACACTCACACACACATATACACACGCTCAAGCTCTCACCGAAGGCCACCCCGCCCGCGGCGAGAGAAACTGCCCGGGTCGGTGAACCACAGGACGGTGGGGGAGGGGGCCGGGCTGGGACGCCCGCCGACCGAGCCGGACGGGCAGGCGGCGTTACCTGTGTCAGGGAGAGCTGGGCCGCCGCAGCCATGGTGTTTCCATCATGCACGGGAGGGGAAGGAAGGACGGGCTGACTGGGGCTCGGGGCGGGGAGGAGGCGGAGGGAGCGGTCAGAGGCGAGGCCCGGGCAGGCGGGCGGGCGTCTCCCCTAACTTCGACAACTTCCCTCCTCTCGCCCGCCCCGCCCCGCCCCGCCTGGCCCCGCCCGCCCGGCGCCAGCGCGGCGGTACCCAAATCCTGGCGCCGGATTTTGAGCTACCGGACAGGGTCCTACCCACCAGGGCCGCCTGAGAAAAACCGGCACGGACATAGCAGTAAGGCGGACGGGCTGCGTAGGTGTAGGAGACTACAGACTGCTGTAAACTTTAAGCAGGTCGCCTTCTGCTTCTGAAAAATGGGGGAAACTCTACCCAAAGTCCAGGTGAAAACTAAATGAGATGATAGAAATAACAGTACTTTATTAAAATATGCTAGATTCTGTGCTAGACATTTTATTTTTCAATTGTATGAATGGAAGGAACTAAGACTCAAGTAAGTTGTATAAATAAAGAAACCAAAACACAAATAAGTATTTTACGTAAGGTCATACATCTGATTATGAGAGCCAGGTTGGAATCCAGGTCTCACTCCAAAACCTGTCATTTAACCATCTGCTATTAGGGCATGATATTGAAAAAGAAGACTTCTAAGTCATTCCTTCCAAGAGTCAAAATCCAAGTGGGAGGGATGATGAATAATATCCTTGCCTGCTTGCTGCCAGCCACACTTACATTGTTTTATAAAAGAGCACTGGGACCTGTGCAGGTGCCCACAGCCTCCTAACTCTTACCATAGTCCTCTTGGCAAACTTCTAGTTTCTGAAGACACACTCAAGTATTTTCCGCTTTGCAGAGTATCTCCTGATCTCCCCAAGTCAGAGTTACACACTCTTCTTTTGACATTTCTTCTCTACCCTATGAAGTCATTATCACTCTAATGACTCTTTACACCTGTCTACCCCACTACACTGAGAGCTCTCAACAACAAGCACTGTTTCTAATGTATTTCTATATCCTCACACCCTAGCATGCAACAGGTACTCAATAAAAAGCCTCGTTACTGCTTGTGTTAAATATAACGCATCCTCCACTATCTCATACTGCCATCTTCAGTTGGAATAAACAACAAGTTACTAGAAATCCTGATCTTTAAAAACTTGGCTTATATGCCAACTACTTTAAGAAACCTTCTAGGAACTCCAGCCCCACCTTTTAGTTGTTCTAATATGATTCTTATTATACTCATCTTGTTTTTAAGAGTTAATTAAAGGCTTTTCTCTACCCCACCGCACTGTAAAATCCTTGAGGACAGGGGACTGACTCATTACTATATCCTATTCGCCATTTAGCCTACCACAGAGTAGGCCTCAATAAATGTTTTTGCCCAGAATTGGTCTTCTTTCTCGGTCATGGTGGCTTCCCACACCAACAAACCACAGCTCTATCAGGCCCATGACCTTGTCACCATTATGGCAGCCCTCATTTAATATACCGGGAAGGCCAGCTCATGGAATAAACCTCACCTAACTTTTTAGACCTTTGCCAAAATGGGCAAACCATCCCAGAAGGGCCCCCAGAAACTCCTGACTCTGCTCAGACCCCTTTTAACAAAGTCTAGCCACAAAGAGCAGCCATGCAGGTCTGGTGAACAAACACTTATTCAACAGTCTCCTTGGGTCTCTTTTTGCTGTTATTCTTATTAACTCAAGGAAGGAGGAAGGGGGAATACAGTTTTAAATTACTCTACCATGGTACATTCATCAACTATAACCACAACTGATGTTTCTATTTGACTTTTCTATTTTACATTATCACATTTCAGCTTCACAACTCTGAAAAGTATAAACCCACTTTATAGATGCAGTAAATGAAGATTATGAGGGAAAAAATATTATAGGGGTTAATTGATTTGCCCAGTTTATACGGCTAATAACTGAAGCAATATAGCAGTGTGGAATAAATAAGGCTTGGATACCAGAAACATCCAGGTTACAATTCTGGCTCTACCATTTACCAGCTGTACAACCTTAGGCTTGTTGTGAGGATGAATGACATATAATATATGAAAATACCTAAAGATGGAGGTAGTTATAGATGTAGATGCAGGTTAAGAAATCTGAAAGCCATCCCATAAATTACTATGGGAACTATAAATTCACTTGCTATTCAAAAGCCATCCCATAAATTACTATGGGAACTATAAATTCACTTGCTATTCAAAGAGATTCCTCCAAACAATATGAAGTAAAGAAGATATTACTCTTGGGTGAATAGAGTGGAAGCTTTCCAGAAAGGCTAGGTATGCAGCTAATAACGAGAATATTGGAATCATTTGGTGTGTGGCCTCAGACAAACCATTTAACCCGTTTGAGACTCAGCTTCTCATATATAAAATGAGCAGATCAGAGGAAAATGGGTGGCACAGTCAGATAAGAGTCCCACTCTTGGTTTTAGCCCAGGTCATGATCTCAGGGTAGTGAGACCGGGCCCTGCATTGGGCTCCATACTCAGCACAGAGTCTGCTTAAGACTTTCTCTCCCTATACGCCTCCTGCTCATGCTCACGCTCTCTCTCTCTCAAATAAATAAATAGATCTTTAAAAAAATGAGCAGATCAGTATGAAAATATGGAGGAAACATAAGGAATTATTATTGTTATAATCATTGTGTGATTTATAGTAAATCAAAAACAATACATTGTATTTTTTCAGAATTGCTACTCACAATTTATAAATGTTTTCACATACAGAATCTAGCACAACTCCTAGAGTCAAATAGGTACCTGATAAAGGTTTGTTGAAGTGAATTAAATGCATAATGTTGGGGCACCTGAGTGGCTCAGTGGGTTAAGCCTCTGCCTTCGGCTCAGGTCATGGTCTCAGGGTCCTGGGATCGAGCCCCGCATCAGGCTCTCCACTCAGCGGGGATGCTTTCCCCTTTCTCTCTGCCTACCTCTTTGCCTATTTGTGATCTCTCTCTCTCTCTGTCAAATAAATAAAATAAATAAAATCTTTTAAAAAATGCATAATGTTATGGATAGTTATTATTTGCATCCTTATTTTATCCCTGTTTCACAGATAAGAACACCAAGGAAGAATTATTTTGTAAGTAACTTGTTTCAGGAAAGCCACTTAAAGTAGTTTTGGGCCTTGGTTCAAATAACAATAGTGATAATCAGAGCCCACAGCAAGAGAAGACAAGCTAAAAATTATTACCTGGGTATTGTCCCAGACCCCTTTCCAGACCAACAATAATTTGTACTGGCTTCCTTTCCACTCATTGGTTCTGGTTTAAATTTAAAACGACATGTAATGGGTGATAAGAGTGATGGTCCAAACTCCTAAAAAGGCCTAGAACTTCTGGGACTGGATTTCTTTTTAAATGACAGTTTGCAAATGCCTGTCCCAGATCTCATCAAAGCACTGGGTCATATCCCAAATCTATTTTAGGAGAGTAAAATGTAGCTAATGGAAGATATGTTATGATCTAATTCATTATAATAAGAACGAGCTTCATGGAGCTGACAAAAAGGACTTACCTGTTTTTTCTAGGACAACTTAATGGCTCTAGGTCTCTAAGCTTCATATACCTCATGTGTACATTGGAGATAATAATACCTACTTTATGGGAATGATATAAGGACTACAAATCATGTATAAGTGCCCTATCAATGTCTTGACTGGAATAGATGCCTAATTAGTGGTAGCTATAAGAACACCATTCTTCAAGATCACCATTTAATTCTACCCCTCAGACAACTGTCCAATTACTAAGAGAGTTTTGCAAATACGTTGGCCATAAGAAAGGAGTGCCTTGAACATCTGACTCATGTATCCTGTTATAGGAAAGATAGATGTTCTCTTGGTAATAAAGTTGTGTCTGATGACTTAAATCTGAGTACTGACAACCAACAAATGCTGCTTTCATGTACATTATTGCATGTAATCCTCACAACAGTCCTGTGGGAATTATTATTAATTTTATTTTACAGAGGAGGAATTTGTCCAAATTCATAGTGAGAAAGCTAGAAATTATACATAAGTCTTCTGACTCATGCCCTTTTACTAGCAACATGTGTCCTGTAGACACTGAGACATTGATCACCTCCAAGAAGACTTGATAAAATGGTGCTTTTGAACATGGAAAACTGAAGATGAGGCTCTGGATTTATAATAGCCCTAAACCCAAGATGATCCTGAAGAGGAGAACTTAGATCCCGAACAACTTTGTCATCAGCCTATCTTTCCATCTTTCTTTCTATCCTACTCTCACCCCACTCTTTCTCCCCAACCAACCCTTCTGGGACACCACAGCTACTTTTATTTCTTTATATTCCAACTTTAGAGGTGACTGTTATACCAGCTTTTCAAGAACACTGCGTATTTGTGATGTCAGCATTCAAAAATACAGGATGCTTGATTCAAACTATGGAGGAAAAAAAACTGAGGCGCTCTCTGAATACACAAAGAACCAGTTTATTTGCATGAGACTTTGAGAAAGGCCTTCCATATAAATGGTGCTAAGCTACAGAAAAAAAAAATTAAACTACAATTGTAATGATAATCTGGAGCTCATGCTTCCAAGCTGTTCATTGCGTAAAGATAGCCCATTATTGTTCATGTTTGCCCAGGGCAGAAAGAATATGTGAAGCTGCACAATAATAACAATTGTGCTATACAAATAACTGTCCCTGTGCCAGGAACTGAAAAGAACAAGCAGTAAGAGATTTTTAAATGCCACATACAGCCAGGGTGTGATAGGACATTTCAAAACTGTCTTCATCGCTAATTTTTCAGGGCAATGGGATGTCCCGGGAAGAGTCTGAATTTAGAATTGGGAAGCCCCAGTCTGGTCCAGTCTTGGCTCTGCTACTTCTTAAGTTTGTGACCTTGGACAAGTCAGTGAACTATATCAATCCATTGTTTATTGTAATCGAAGGTAATGATAGCACCTACTTGATTGTGATAATAGGATGCTTAAGTGAAGTTTCATGTGAAAGCAGTTAGCGTGACACCTAGCACACAGTGGACACTAAAAACACATTAGCTCCTTTTTCTTCTTACTAGAGAATATTTAGGGTTTAAGAAACCAGAAACAAAAATAGAAATAATTT